AGGATATGTAGTCTTTGAAAATAAAATAATAATTATAATGACAGGCTATGCAAGCGATAGAGGTGATGGGGCGGGGAGGGGAGATTGGCGATGGAGAGGCAAATATACAACACATTGAAATGCATTGAGGCATTCAGACAGAGAAGTGGTGTTGTTATTGTGGTACATGTTGGTCATGTATTAAACGAGGCATTATTGATGTATGTTTGATTGTACACAAGAGGCTATATGAGGATGGTGTACATACACTTACAGGATAAGACAGGATATACATAAACATGAACATATACTGTACACCTAAAACCAACAACAACAAGAGCAGCAGCAATACATGTTGTGTATATACGACGAATTTGCCTAAATGTTTGTATGTACGCCTGTGTGTCCAAAAATATGCGTATATACTTTGGGTGTTGTTGTTCTTCTTGTTGTTGGAGTTCGTGTTGTTGTTGCTACTGTTCAATTTTGATGGCTACCGCCAACAACACAAATGGTTTATTCACCTTACCCCGAACCCCAATCCAGCATCTTCTCATCATTGGCCAAAAAGAGGAAGATATTTCATAATGATACCCTGTTGTCGTCGGCGGGTTGCCTTTGTCCACAGGGAAAATTATTCTTAAGAAAGTGCTGATTTTGCTTGCCTGCTTGCTGCCGCTGCTGCTGACGTTAATGTGACTGCAGTTGATGCCATTTAAATTTTAGCTCAAAGATGCAACAAGACACGGTGTGAGGAAATTTCACAAAAGATGTCTCTATTGTTTTTAAACTTTCAAAACAAATAATTGTTTTACAACGATTATGCTTGCAGCATTCCTGTGTGTGTGTGTGGCAGGGGGGTGGGTGGCTGGGTGGTTGGTTGATGTAATGGATTCAGAAGGAGTCAATAACTTAAGCAGTTTTATTATAATTGATTTTACTGCCTTTGATTCAAAAACACAAAAACTAAATTTAATTGTTTGAATATGTTCACAAAACAATTATGGCTGTTTGGAAATGTGTGTTAGGCGCGACTTTATAATTGAGTTGTAATATTATTTTAATTAAATCATTATAGGCAGTTTCAGTTATCATGGCTACTTTATAATTATTTAAGTGAAGGATCGCTAGATGTGGGTACTTAAGGTGAGAGAATTTGGTAGCATTGACAATTAAATATTTTATAAGAGCTTCATAGACGCGGCATCACTTGGCAAATAATTTTAAGTACGACATGTTTGAACTTTGACATATTCAAAGGTGTAATACCTCTGCAGTGTTAAATATCCAATATCAGGGAGTTGGCCACAGTCTCTCTACTTGTATGGATGCATGTTCTCCGATGATCTAAAAGTCAAATTCTGAGGCGGGTTGAAGTTGAGTTTATTCCGGATACATCACCACATGCCTTGTGAGTCATATGAATGGAGGGGAATTTCAAGAGTTTCATTTTATGACGTAAATATCATTTGATGAATACACTGAGTCATGATTGATGTCATAGCCAAGGTAAGATTTTGACCACATAGACACTCAAAAGAATGTATTTAATAAGACTACTCAATACAAAATGCCATTCTATGCCATTGTCCTCTGCCTGTTAAACGTTCAATAATCAATTCCATCCACTAACCTTTCCGAACATGTACCTGCCAGACTGCCGCCCTGAGAACTGCAACAGGGTGCCTCCTCATGATTCCTGTGGACCATATACATGAGGAGTCAAAGGTTCTTCCCTTACGTCAGCATAATCATATGCTTTCGTTGCAGTACCTGCTTGGGTGTTATCGTGGGAGTCATCCTAACCACCATATGGTGGACAGAACTCCCCCACCCAGGCGTGTCAGGAAGGACCTGCATGATCTATAGAGAGAGGTCCAGCGATATAAGAGAGAGCCCCTAGATCATGAAGCCTATCAAGCGGGTCAGAATGCACTCGCAGAGGTAGTTAATAATTACAGTAAGAATGCCATCCTCGAAGTCCACCCCATTGCAGCTAAGAAGAACGTCGGCTGACTAAGCAAACCAGGGTAGTTTTGGCCCAACTACGTCCAGGATGGTGCAGCAGTCTCAATTCGTATTGGGTACGAATTGACGAAGATGTGCGGAACGCCTGCCCCGCGTGCGATACAGGCCCGCACTGCAACTGTTTAATTGTCCAGCCAAGGCTACCCAACCCCGTCTAGAGGATCTCTGGCTACAGCCCATAAAGGTAGCAGAATTCCTAAACCTTTACATTGAGGAAGAACCGGATTAATAAGAATATAAACAGCGTAGCATATTAACACTGCTACAACAACAACTAACCTTTCCTGACGGGAACCTGAGTTGCCAACCAAAGACTTATGGAAGGTAAGCAAAAATCAACGTAAGGTTGGGAGGACTATGGGACAATCCTAAATAGATACAACAGTGAGTCAATTAAAGAGGCTATCTATATATCCTGATTTCGACGTGTTCTTTTAAAGGATACGTAGCTCATTAAAGCGTGAAGATAGCATGTGGACTGATTTCGCCTTCAAGACTCCAAATGGTTTAGTTTGCATAGATGTAGAACCTCCTGTTTTTACGGAAACAAGTGATTTCAACAAAATTAAAAAATCTTCAAACTTGCATCAAATTGTGTCTACCATACAAACCACCAGGGTCGGATGATTTGGTTATAAAACTGATCGACAATTTAATTTTGAAGGCTTGACGGTATCTATCTTACTTTGCGACTCCTTGGGGAGAAAGTACTTTTTCAGACATTCTCCGAGCTGGGGAACCGAGTAACTTAGAATTTTTTGGTACTAAATTCAGAGTTGTGAATCACTACCTCTAATAGTGCTGAACAACTGGCTCAACAAAAACCAAAACACGTTAAAATAATCTATACTAGGCATAGGCAGTGGGGGAACTTTTAAAAAATGTTAAGCTTCGGTTCGACAGTTATCTTCAAAATCATGCTATTTTTTCTGCTAAAAGTCGAAACATTAAATTAATAAAGATTTTGACTATTAATGGAAATTTTAGATCATTTGGGAAGTAATGCAATGCAGGCTTTTGTTAGTCAAAGGTAGACAAAAAACCTTGTCAAGTTCTTTCCAAGAAATAACCACAACTTTAGTTGCTGACACTGAATAGCATCTTAAGAAGCTATTTTGACGCACTGTTAGTCACTCGTTCATGCTGCGATGCGGAATGTGGACTCTGTATTAGACCAGAACAAGTAAAAACATTAAGTTTTGCCGGACCGTGCTTTTAATACCCTCCACCTTTTGGAAAAAAAAAACATTTTTATATAAAATATCTGAATTAAACGTGTTCCACTTTAAACTACAAATACCAGTGAGAACGTTTGGATAATGCTGTTAAACTTTCCAAAAAAAACAAAGTATGTGAGGCCGGTATATGGGGGCCATACCAAAACGGGAACCTCGATGGACAATTTAATACTTCAAGGATTGTCATCTATCAATTCTTCTTAAATACCAAATTTGAAACAATTTCGTTGGTAAATGTGACAAGCGTTATTAAAATACCGAATGTCGCTGTGTTTCGTTACATGTGCGCATTAGGAAAAACGTATACCCCAATGTTCTACCACCCGAGCTAGAACTCATTATGAACTACAAATACCAATTTTTAAACAAATCCGTGGAAAAATGTGGCAAAAATCACCAAAATACTGAATATCAGAAGGTGGGGGCAATACGAAAATGTGGACCTATATATTTTATGTTCCGCCACAGAATCTAGAACCCATTGCGATCTACAAATATCAATTTTTTGACAAATCCGTTGGAAAATGTCGCAAAAATCTATACATACAATGTTGCGCTACCATATTTTAAGCAAATCCTTGAAAAAATGTGGCAAAAATGATCAAAATACCGAATATCGGGAGGTACCGTTATATGGTGGCTATATCAAAACGTGGACGCATGTATCTCATGTTTCATACCAACCATCCTAGACACAATACAAATTGTTCTGCCAAATTTTTAAACTCTATGTCAAATAATGTGGGCTGTATCGTGATTTCAACAGAGAGACAGACAGACAGACGGACATCGTTAAATCGACTTAGATTTTTATGCTGATTATGAATACTTTTACTTTATGGGGTCTACGACGAATATTTATGGACGTAACAAACAGAATGACAAAGTTAATATACCCTCCTTTTTAAGGTGGAGGGTATAAAAAAACAGTGAGTACATACTAAAACACATTGCAGACAGGAATGCCTAGACATCCAGAATTTTGACGGCTCAAGCCATCATAGTATCTCCTTCCTTTTGAACATATATTGGCGTATTCCCCTAGACAAACCATTCTACTAATTATACATTTCTTTGACCGATTTCTTGTCTTTGTCGCTTTTACATATTTTCTTTCCTATCACCACTACTGTATTTTTCCTAGAACACCATGGATCATAGGTCTCCCCGTAAAAATGCTCTCAGCCGATAAGCTCTGGAAAACGTCATTCAGTTGGGGTGTATATATGTGATATGTGTACCTTTATAAAAGGCAAAACCGATTAAATTTTTCAAAAATTTAAATTTTCTAGCCTAACAATTTCACCATAATAATGGGTATCTTGAAAATAAAATAATAACCAACCAATAACATGGCTATCTATAAACACTGCCGATCACATGAAAATTGTTGCCCGGGAGTTTACCTTTATTCATATCAAAATATTACCAATCCATCAAGTGATCCCGAAACCAAGCGAAGTTGATAAGTGGTAAACCAAACAATTTTTTTGGAATCCAATAACCCAAAAACTTAACAGAGAACATCTGACAAATACAAAACATGCCACGAGAAAGTATATGTAGGAAGAGACCAAATTACGGACAGAAATTGGTGAAAGAAAGTGGCAAGACAAAGGCAAAAATGCTCACCAACACATAAGCAGAGATTATGGCCTTACAATGAACATTGTACAGCATTGTTCAGTGGCCAATAAGGGCGAAATGAAACATCTGTTATGCAAGGTGCAAAACATCGTTTAAAGCCGGTTAAAGTAGATCTTAAAATGGATTTAGTTTTTTTATTCAACATGGTTAGGTCTTTACTTGTTTTAGGGCACTGATGTGTTATCCCAATAAAAACATTGATGGAACATTTCCTAGGGATTGGTCATGTAAATTATTTATCATCATTAACCAAAAATCTCCTTCTATGCCCAATTCTTTTTCGGATATATATTTTGCCATGAAAATTTGTAGCCATGATTTCAGTTCTTGTCGCGAAGTTATTTTCAAACTTCTCTTGGTTTTACTTCAACTCCAGGTGAAATCATGGTGTACGATTTTGGGAGAGCCATGATTCCAGTTCTTCTGGAGAAATTATTTTCAAACTTCTCTTGGCTTTACTTCAATTCCAGGTGAAATTATGGTATACGACTTTGGGAGACTTCTTCGAATTGTCACTAAAAACTAGCAAAAAGTGATTCCTGTAAAGAACAACAAAAACTTTTTAATTAACTTAGATATGGAAATATTCTACCTACTAAAACTCAGCATCAAGTTCATATGGTGGTAGGAACATAACCTCAAAAGGAATACGCTCCACATGGAAGACATAGCGCACAGCAATTAAATCTCTTCTTTCTGATTTATTATCCTCAGTGCCTTGTCACACAAAAAAAATGTCTGCCGCTAAGCCAATCTTTTGGTCTCAAAACTCCCCAGCATTTGAGGTTATGATATGGAAAATTCCAAAAACCGAATTGGCGACTCTCTTATGGAATTGACACATTTTGGCCAGATTGGTTGAGTGTCACCACAATAGTTTTACAGTTGTTATGTGGTAATATGTCATCAGCATCACATTGCCTCTTCAACGAATGAAAATACCAAAACAAAAAACGATAATTAAGAGCAAAAAATAAAATCGAAGATATACAAAACATCAGGCATGGCGGAGTACGAAAACAAACAAACGACGAACAACCAAGCAACCAGCTAGCTATATGGCAAGAATAGTAATATCTACATTGAGGTTCACCATGAGATAACATGGACGTGGAATACTAGCAGCCAAGCTGCTCGAAACAGCAACAACAACAACACAAAATCTAGCAACAAAAAAATCCCATACAAAACGTAAACGTGCTTAGGTAAGAAGCAGTTCGTCACTCGTTTCCGAGCTGTTTTGCTGTGCTTGTGCTAACTAACAACCACAGCCACCACCACTACAACGAAGAAACACAACCACTTCGCAATTGAAGCTACAGCTAGCTACTGCGTATATATTCTTCTCCACTGCTCTTGCATGACATTTGGGTGATTTGGTAAAGGCAAAGCTACCATTGTGACTAAGGTGATGTCGACAAACAATGATGACAGCGGCGACCACACCACTTTGGTAAACGCATGGATTCCAGGCCCAGCGGAGTATATATATGGCGAACGTGTGTGTGCCTATGGAATGAGAGATAGCGAGGCAAACACACAAACACAAGCTACCGTGGAATCGATTCTTTCCATAGCAATACACAACTGAGACACAGAGTTGCTTTTGTCCAAACATACAAATGTGTTCACAACAACGACTGGTGGACCATGAACCCCGAGTCCATATAAACGATTGTGTAATCAAAATAGGTACATTGTTCTTTTAAGGATTTCCAAATGATTCCACTAGGCCAAAAAAATAAATGCGTTTATAGGGCCAGGGAAAAAGGTTAATTCAACACTGGATGTTTCTCCTCGTGTGTGTGCCATGTCAATCTGTTACCTAGCCACCAGTCATATGAACGACAATGGACTGGTTATTTGCTTGGCTCGAGAGTTGTGGTGGTGACGACTCAGTGCCTGCCGACTACTATTGATTACCACTACACAGGCACCACCGTTCAATGGCGATGGCAACGAGACAAATGTGGCGAATGATGCACACGTCAAACGATGGCTAAATAATGTGGGTCTGGCAATTATATGCGCCAACAACGACGACAACAACGGAGGCAGATGATGATGACTACATGCAAAATCCAACCTAACCTCACTTTGTTCGCCATCACCTCATCATGGAGTATAATTATCATAAACGTTTGCCCAGTCACTCGGCACACTCGTGTTTGGCTTTGGTATTCGGCAGCAGTGGCGGCAGCAGAAATGTACCCAGTCCACGTGAAAATGGACGGGTGTGGTCGTGTATTCCAACTTACCTTGATGGATACACAGCTATGGATTTTGCTAGCCAAGGGCTCCTTGTCGGCTGCATAACTGTTTAAAATCGATATACATTCGTTGTCTGGAGCTAAACACAGGCGGCAGCAGTTGTGTCTCCTCTGTTGGTTCTGCTGCTGCAGACGTTCATCCGACATTTTGAATTTGTCCTATGTCGATCCACACTTCCACACACAAGAAAACTGACTCTTTTCTGAATCTTAGTGCTTGTGGAGGTGGCAGAACTGCTCTTTCCACTCAGACAAATAAAAAATGATGATTGTTCCTTATTCCAAGTATTATGTATTCGCCGTCGTTTGCCTGTTTGATATTTAATCTTTTTTATTTTGTTTTCACTTTCTCTTTCAATTATTATTGCAAATTGTTTTTGTTTTTTCCGTCTGTTATTTTTTGCAAGCACAGTTTTTTTTCGCATTTGAATTCACTTATTTTGTGCGTTTATAAATTTTGACAATTTTTCCTTGCAAATTTTTTGTGAATTTTTCTTCTTCTACATTTTTGGTGTGTATTCCACTTGTCCTCGATAGCTACGGAGGAATAATCCACGACTGCTCGCAACGGGATTTCAAGAAACTGTGCGTCTGGTTTTGGGTTTTGCCGGAATGGATTGTGCATTTTCTCTGTTTCCATGCTCTTTCGCGAATATGCCCGTTAAGTGCGAATGAAGCCGTTGCGCCGCCACTCACTCGCCGTTGGAAGTCGGCGTTAAAAATGTTTTTATCGACTCTAGTTTATATGGCAAGAAATGCTCAATGCTAAAATTATCTTTCATTACAAAGATATGTATTTTTTGGTCTTAAAAATAATAATAATTAAATTAGAAAATATATAATATTTAAATACATTGATTTAACTGAGTTTATGTTTACAATTGACAATAACAAATGATTGATAGCATTATACAAAGGTCGCTGGCCACACACTGAATTTGTGTCATGGAAAAATCTAAACTATGAGTATCAGTAAATGGCAATTGTTATGTTCCAGAATCTAATATTTTTGCAATTTTTTTGATATCAGTAAAAATTTTTACATTCTTGCAGTTCTAGAACGGACCAAATGTCTCCCAATCTGCAAGAAATAGTACTTGGAACTAAAAACGATGCTAAAAAAACCTTGTATGACTGAACATTTTATGCAAAACAACCGATTAACTTGAAAATAGAGAACTAACATTTTTTGGCTTAATTTAGATTCTTTTTTCTGACTTTAAATTTTAGCAATGAAGAGCTTTGTTTGTTTTTTATTGTTTGAAGATAATAATCTGTGAATAGATTTAGATCCCTATCTTTAAAAAATATAAAAATTCGAAAATTCTTTGAAAATAATAGATGCAATTATTTATGGAATTATACTTATATGAAAAGCTCTATCAAATCGAGCTCTTCTGTCAAGTACATTTTTTAGTATATTTTTCGACCTTTACAATTATTCAATTAATTAGAAATAATTTGTTGTAACAGTTTGTTATAGCTGATTTCATCTTAAATATCGGCTTTATATAGTTTCCTCACCTTTTTCCCAATCATGAATCATTTTCCAATCCTTCAAAAATCGCGTTTGATTATCTATAGAACATTTGCATTTATTGAAAAAAATCGTTTTATTTATATGAAATTTTAAAAATATGTAGAATCTCAAGACGTTATGTTTACAATAAGGGTTAGTTCCTATTCCAATTTAGTCATGTTATAAAAATGCCAATAAACCAATAATATCCTTTTTTTAAATAAAAAAATATGTTTAGTTTGATTCATTATCAGGTATACAAAGAAGTTATTTTATAATTTCAACTAAATGTCAATCCGCCAAAGTTTGAGTGATAAAATCTCCCCTTGAAAAAGTCAGATACACTTCCCTCAGAGTTGAGTTTACAAGTGCATCGTCATAAAGGCAACGAATGTGCCACCAAGTGAAGAATTTTATCTACAATCACAACTTTGTCCAAACAGATGTTCTATTGGTGGGGATTAACTAGACAATGGATTCAGCTGTGTCCAAGCGAGTAGTGTTGTGTAGCTTAATTCGAAGCTCTTCAAGCTAGATTTTGCATCTCACTTTTGGATGTTAAAAAGTGTTTACAACACTACCCATTTACAATGCTTGGACACTTTACCGTGCTCATCCACCTCCAGGTATATTACAATCCATTGAATTAGTTATCCGACCTATGCGACGATTGGGACGTAGACCCCCGTTACCACCGGAGCCACCACCACTGCCGCCGCCTCCTCCACCTCCGCCATATCCACTACCAGAACCCCAACTGCTACCACCACCACGTCGATTTCCGTTACTTCCGCGGTTCTCAACGTTGAATGGTGCTATCAGAGTTCGGAAACTGAAATGGAGTGTGTTAACTTAATGCATTTCTATCGAATTTATTCATAATACGTACAATTGAATGACTATGAGCCATAGACCCGTGAAGATCTCCATTACACGAGCCATGTCCCAAGGTCGTTTTTCCAAAACCCGACCATCTGGAATGTATAATTTATTGATTATTGCTGTGAATGAAAATGTTGCTATGGATCTAATTCTCTTACTGCGATCTATGTACACCATTTTGGGATGGTGACAAAAATATCTGGGTAAATTTTAATGCTTTTCGCAGATGTTTTTGTTTCTACTAAAAACACGCACAATGACGATGTTTTTTCTACTGATAAACTGACGTGGCTGTCAAACTATAAATGAGCACAACGGCAGCGTTTAACGGCAGTGCTGTTTTATTTAATGGTGTAACTTGAAAAGTGACGTATGACAGAATTAATAAATAAAAAAGCATGCATGGCACAATAACAATAATTATAATTTAGCCATGCTCTGGCGTTTCCCTGGAGAAACCAGAATTTATTTTAATTTCAGAATTTGGATGTTGTAAATAAAATGTATGGGAAAATTGTATATATTTTAGCATGAAATTGCCTTTTATAATTTTGCCATGATAACAATTCTTCGTTTTTTTACATACGCAAGTGACTATTGACATAAATTCATTAAATAATTGTTATCACCTTACTATTTACAATATATGTTCTGTCACTGAACACATTCCCTGTTGTGCGTGAATTTCGAACATAAAATTATCAGTTTTAATTTTGAAAGTTGAATGTTGTCAAGGGAAATTTGTGAAGAAATTGTTGTGGTTATCAAATAGACCTAATTACGCTGTTCCAAAACCTGCAAGAAAGTAAAAATATTACGCTAACCTATTTGTCCTTTATGATATCAACACAAATTGCAAATCTAGTAGATTCTTGCAGGTTCTGTGACAGAGCATTTGTCTTATAGAACGTTTATATATAAATTGGTTAACGCACTGAAATTACTTATACTTTAAATAAATCCTCTCTCTCTCTATACTTTAAATAAATCCTATTGAAGTAGGTTAACCCTGTAAAAAGTTCTAACGTAAACATGACATTATATAATTCTGCAACGGATTCAAGGTTTCAGACGTCTCAAAATTATTTAAGGTAGTCTTGTGTAAATATAAAATATATACAATTTTACATATACATGCAGGTTCCGGAGCAGAGCAAATTTTATTTAATATTGTCAATAAGTTAGATTTACTAAACTACTACTGCTTAAATAAAACATAGGCACATTGTAATACGTTTTATTAACAACTTTATTTTAAATTCGAAAAAAATTATGGTGTTGACATTTATTTATTTTTGGAGTAAACGTTTCATTTTGGCATTTTAAACGAAGTTTTGAATATGTATGTTGATTCTAAAAATATTTTGAAAATATATATTTTAACACATTGTATTAGTTATTATTATTATTAGTAACGGGTAAATTTTAATATTAGATATATATTTTGATGGTCACTAAATATATTTATAAATATAATTTTGTTTTTAATTTGGTATATAATTTAAAGTATATAATATTTGGTTGGGTATATGTGTAAGTTGTATTATCGACAGGAAGTTATTGTTATTTTTGTTGTTTTTCGGAAACCTAGCCTACAAAAAATATGTATGTACGTACGTATGTTAATAAATAAGATTGATTATTGCTGACAAATACCTCCTCCAAAATTCTTACTCACTTCGTGTCATTGTAAAGCTGGATACGTTTTACATACCTTATGGTAAAATAAATATCATTATTCTCATTTTATTATTGTTCAATCACCTTCACTCTTAACAGTGCTAACACTGGCCCTCGGCTGATTCGAAAATACGAGCAAATACCGACGGTATTTCGCCAATCATATCGGTAGCCAGCATGCCACGTCCATGCTTCTGAAATGCCGCGGCATTACAATGCTTTAGAAAATAACTGGCTGCAAAGGCGGCCAGAAACCCGGGATTAGCCTGATTGGCTTCCAAGGACCAATGGAAAAACACCGATAAGACGCCACACAGCAAATCGCCCTGACCACCGCAACGTCGACCGGAACCACCAGCGGGCATTACATAAATCTCCGAGGTGTTTGGTATGTGAATGCGGTCGCGTGCACCTTTTTCCAGTACAATAACCCCCTCACCCAGTGAGGCCATACGCTCTTTGCAAAATTTGTCACTTTCACTGGCCGGGGAGGCAACTGAACCAAATAAGCGACGAAATTCAATGGCATTTGGTGTTAGAATTATATTGCGTTGTCCCTCGATTAAATCCAAATGATCGTTGAGTATGGCCAGACCATCGGCATCAATGACCATAGGCTTTTCAATTTGTAAACAAACTTTGATAAGTTCGATGACAGTCTTTTGTATTTCTGGATCCCGACCCAAACCGGGTCCAATTATCTAAATAAGTTTTAATTTGGAAATAGAAAACAAACAAAATGGGAAAAGAAAGAGTGCAAGAAAAAAACATAACCTCAACATGATGTTTTCATCAATAATGTAGGCTTGTCTATACTGTATGCTACATCAGTACAGGCTACTACTACTTACAATTACATGTAACCTTTCCAACCATGGTGCTATTATTTCGATGGCATTTTCATCGTCTAAATTCGGATGTACTATCAACTCGGGACTGTATGACTTAATGACAACGGCAGCCTCCTTGCGACAAAAGACATGAGCCAAATCAGCACCTACCTTCAGCGATGAAATTGCTGCAAAATATGGAGCTCCCGTATATTCAAGTGAACCTCCCACCACACCAATCCTGCCGTATTGCCCCTTATGCTTGCTATCGGTTAATCGAGGCACTACTGTCCTTGAAAGCTTGAGTAATTTTTGTGTTTGAATTGGTATTTCCATGCCGACGACGTTCAATTGCTGTGATGTTGTTTTGTTAATTTGCTGTTGGTGTTGTTGTGTTTGCGTATAAAAACTACAGGCATTATCTGTCGTTGGACTTGGCAAACACCTGAACTGACTAATTAAAAATACAGTTGTACGCGGCTTGGTTCGCAGTATTGAAGTTTGCATTGCAAACGAGCTTTAATTTAAAGCTTAAATTAAATTAATTCTGTAATTTTTTGACTACGTTCGAAGTAGACAAAAAATCTATTCAAACGCACTTTGCTTTTGGAAGAATCGATGAATGTGGTGGTTACATTTCAAATGCGAATATTGCAAATTCCAATGTTTTTTATGTTGATTCTGCAAAAAACAACGAACGCAATAACAGCTGATGAAGAGAAAATGGAGAGAATAAACAAAAGGTAAAATAAGCAGGGTTGCATAAATAGTAGTGAGACGACTATTGCATTTGTTGCCAGATGAATTGGAGAGATTTTTCGTTTGTAGTTCCATGGCTCCATTCCATGCTGGATGTTTGACTTAAAGTGATGAAATTATCAACGGAGTTTTTTCAGGACTGACAAAAATCGAAACGTTTTGAAATTTTTACCATTTTCTTATTGGATACCATTTAGATTGGAAAAGGTAAAGTCATTTTAAATGAGCTTTCCATTATCTGGATTTTTGTAACTGAGCTTATCAAATACAATTGCATATGAAATGTCACAACAAAAACATGAATTGTTTGTTTACATTAACTCAGGTACTCTATAAATTGTTATAAAAATATGTGACCTTTGCATGGTCATGCCATTTAAGCTCAACCGCCAAGCCTGTGTTCAACTAACCAAATGATTATAGATGATTTATGGCTGCAGCCTATATTTTGTCTATTACTTCAGACTGCTGTCATATTTAAGCCACTCGTCCGACAGCTGTTAAAATTATACCAGTGACAGCTCATTATATTGTTTACAAGCATACAAAAGCATTATGGTGAGAATTTTCGAGAAAAAGAAATTATTTGTGATGGAATTCAAGCATGATAGTGTGACTTCTTTATATTTGGCTGGAAAACCAGAAGTGGCTATCGTTAGAGGACACCACCATTTAAATGCGAATAAATATTTTGTGTCTCGTACTATCGCTCGTTACCGTGATACTGGTAGCGTAGCCCGACGTCAAGGAATTGGAAGAGGACGGAAGAAAACAGCAACATCAGCAAAAATGGTTCGAAAGAAGTGACTTGATCGAAACCCGCAGTGGCCTAAATATGGCTCGAACATATCGCAATATTCCATTCGGCAAATATTCAAAAATTAGCTCGGAAAAAGCCATTGAATTTCCAAAAAGTGGAAGAACTGCACCACTTCGCTTGGCCAAAAGTGGTGAACTGCCGAATTTGGTTTTCTCCGATGAGAAAACACTCGCTGTCCAGAAGTTTGTAAACAAACAAAATGATCGTCTTTACTTGCAAAAAAGAGGTCAGCTGAAAATGTGCACCTTCGGTTGGCCACCAGAACTCAAGCGCGTGCCATGGTGATGGTGTGGGCCGCCATAACAGTCGATGGTCGCTCTCCGCTCATATTAATCGACCTTGACATCAGATTAAATGCCGAATATTATCTCGAAAATATTCTGGAGGGTGTATTAAAGCCTTGGGCACGCAAACATATTGGCCGCAGACCTTGGACATTCCAACAGGACTCCGCACGCGCCATCCAAGAATGGTTACAAAATAAGGTTCCTCGCTTCATTTCCAGCGCACAATGGTCACCAAAATCTTCGGATACCAATACGTTGGACTATTGTGTCTGGAGTATTTTGGAAAGCAAGATTGACACTAAAAAATACCGAAGTGTCGATCACCTCAAGTAAGCGCTTTGCCGGGAATGGGCCAAAATACCGCAGAGTAACATTCGGGCAGCGTGAGACGGTTTCATTGGCCGTTTGAAGGCCATAATTCGTTCCAAAGGCGCCCAATTCGAACAAATCTAAACTTCTTCTAATTTGATGCTATTTCCGATATTTTTTGCTTTCATTCAATAAAAATAAAAAAAATGTAAAATTATGGCGTTTGACTTTGTTGCAATTTTTTATCTCACCCTGTACTATATGGAGTCATCGAGAACTTTTTGAGAATGACTAATTTAATATACCCTACATCTTACTCTTTTCCTTCTTCGAAATATACGCAGAAAACATGATCTATGGCAAAAAACCAAACTGGTTATTGTTTGAAGTTCTTGGCTTCTATACACTATAATAACAAATTGTGACATATATCCAGAGAACAATGTGGATCGTAAAATAGAGAGAATTATCATTTTATTTTTACCAATAAAGTGGCATGATTCAATCTTTCAAGTAAAAAAAGAACGCTCGCTTTACAAAGAATATGCTACTCGCCTAACGGAATTAAATTATAAAATATTTTGTTTTTATTTTTTGTTAACTGCTCTCATTCATCTCAACTTCTTTTCTTTATTTTTTTTTTAATTGCAATTCTTTAGCAAATTACAACTATTCCCATGTCTGGCTTTGAAAAACAGTTTGCTCGTTATTTTTCCCAACTGTCATATTCATATTTAATTTTGTTTTGTTTTGCGAATTGTTGTCATTTGCAAATATTTGTGCCACTACTAGTTTTTGCATTGCTGATATTTTCTTTGTGTTCAGTACCAATTTTCTCAGCAGTTTGTGTTAATTTGTGTGAAGTAAGGTGCGCTTAGCTTTTCCTAAGTTTTCCTTGATTTTTTTCATTACAACAATTTATAGAATTTTTAATTTATGTAGAATAATTGTTGGCATAACATATAAATTTGTGCTTGTGGCGAAGGTAAGTGGAGATTTGAGGGTTCTAGGCGAAGAAGAAAATCAAATTCCTGTGGTCATCTCCAGCTTGTAGCAAAGTTTTCCAACGAGAGTTCTTAGCCGCAATTTGATTTCCCAGGAACGGCGATAACTGGAAAAGCCAACAACAGTAGCAGCAGTGAAATAGTGACGGTGATTTGTTGGCTGAAGCCATCTTCAAGGTTCAACTATTATAATATGGTGGTGGTGATGGTGTATGTTCGTCGTCGTCGTGTGTAATGTGCATATGCAATCAATGGAATTGTCAAGTTATTACATAGCAGGAGAAAAGTGTGTGTGAGTGAGTCCAAGTGAAAACGAAAACGTACAAATCAAGCCAATAATAATCGTTGTAAGGACCAACGACCCAAAGAATCCTTAGCGAAGAGTGAGAGTGACACTTATGACTTGTCAAGAACTATTTACACACCACATATGGCTGGCAGGCCAGTAGCAAACAAGTCGCATACATAACTTGTATATAGAAAGCACTGGCTGGCTGCTGACTGAATGACTGGACGACAGACAGGACAATAAAGCTGATTTTTTCCTCCAACATATAGTATATGATCCAGAAGTTCATATCTTCAGTGTCCAACAAATACCAAATATATATCAGTGGGTCTTGAAACGGTGTATAAACATAGTGTTGAAAAAAAGTTTTATTCAAAAGGACCACTAACTTCCTTAAACATTCGAGCAGAACAAACGAACGAACAAACGAATAAAGAAGGGAAAAACAATAACAAAAATCAGGTCACGGTACAAATTCAATGTCACACGTCATGTAAGGAAAAATTCTTCAACAGTTTTACTACTGTCACAAGATGTAATTTTATTTTGCACAAAAAAAAGGAAAAGTGTAAGTGAAAATAAGTGAAAAAAATATTCCTTCTATGAAAAAGTAAAGGGCTTTTAACTTAAATGCACTGGCAAAACAGTGTTGAAGAACATCAATTGCAGTGTCTAAAATGACATACACATATATTTATATCCTTAAACCTGGATCGATTTTGTACTGTGATACATATTGAAAAAAATATTTTTTTTTAAAAATATGAAATTGTACAGGAAAGAGTATTTAAAAATTTGTGAAGTTAGTAGATATTTGTTTTGGAAGCAAGGTATTTCGTAGGTTTGTGAAATTATCGATTCTCCAAGTTGATTTTATGACCTGCAAATTTGTATATGCTATATATTTAGTGAAGAATTAGAATTCCAAACCACAATGTTCTTTGGGAAACAAAGTTTATTTTTAATAATTCCTAAAGTTGTATGTTATTCATTTGGATATAATCATTACGGTCATATCTTCGTATTCTAGGAATTTTCCAAACAATTTTCTCAGATATTAGAAATGATATGAGCTATGTATTATTTTCGGTTGAATTTCATTGTTTTTTGATGAATGCATTTTAGAAAGTTTTGAAAGCAACAGGACAGCTAAACGCAAATTAAATCTGAATCCTAAAAATGGCAAGCAAGAACTTCCGTTTTCACGATTCTAAGAGAAAATAAAAAGTTCTCAAAGAAATTGTGCAAGTAATAGACCTATACTTGGTTTATCTATCACCCATATTGTATTCCAGATTTGCAAAGATTTTTAAACTTTAATAGTTAGAGCACATTCTCGCAAAGTTGCTCATGGCAGACCCTGCTGTTGAAATTGTCCCAAAACCACAATAAAACCTAACTATTGATATTTTAAAGGCCGTAGAATACTTTTTAAATTTAATGGGCTACAATTTGGCATTTACCAATACAAAATTATTGTTGAAAAAATTTTCATTGATAGCGAACGCCTACTTGTTCGACTGCGATTGACAATTTTTTTTTTGATCAAAACTTCAGATTTTGATTTAAAATGACAGAATTTCAGGTTAAATACTGTTTTTATACCCTACACCATATTTATAGTTGTGCACCAAATCAGTCCAAATGACCTGAATTTTGGTACATCCAACCGGATCCAGTCTAGAAACTAGTACATCAAAGTTGAAGAAAATCGCTTCAGATATAGTTATAGCTCCCTTATATATGTTTAATCCAATTTTGTGTTTAAGTTCCTCACATTCGTAATATGCACCTCAGAAGAATAATAGAAGCAAGTACATCAAAGTTGGAGAAAATCGACTCAACTATAGTTATAGCTTTCACATATGTGTTTCATCCGATTTGGTGCTTGAGTCCTTCGCATTCGTAATATGACTTGATATTTGGTACCAGATATCTTATAGAGCTCGGAAATACCTTTGCCAAATTTTATTGAGATCGGCTAAGATTTGGATATAGCTCCCATATATGTCCTCAATCCGATTTCAGGTTTATTTCGCAAAAAATGTCTTATATTAGCCCAAATAGAGTGAATTCTGGGACGTACGTTTCCATTTTGTGGAACTCGGTTCCGATATATATTTTGTTAATATAATCCTTCTCGAAGTGATATCATGCAACCTATAGCAATGTTGTTTGTTATAAAAGATAAAAATATCTCCGTTAAATTAAGTGAAAATCGATTTAGAATTGGATATGCCTCCCATTTATTAGTTCCCTTTGAAACCAAATTATAGCTGCTTTAAAGGCAAATGTTGATAGGTGGTATGATCTACTTCAAATAAATTTTGTAGCATTTAATACTTTTCGAACAAATGTAGTACGTATTTTCTAAACATTCTCCATATCTCAACCTTAGATACCAACAGCTACCTAAGTATCAAATGAAGGAATTTCAGCTCTTTAATTTCCACCATTACCAAGTTTAGTAGCATTTAGTACAAAAGTATCCATATCCAAAACCAGTTCTCTCTCTCAACCACTGACGCCAACAGTGACATCCATATCAAATTTCAGTACACATTTTAAAAGAGATCTCAGTACGTAATTTCAGGATTTCCTTTAACCCAATACCCATTTTAGAAATTTTCTTACATTTCTCATTATCTTACTTACTGTTATCTTACTGTTCTCATTATATGCATTTGACAGTAATTCTTGTAAATTAATTGCTTCATATTTATCCGGACGTTCTCAATATGTTTCATATAATGGCGAGGCATCCAGCTTACGTAATATTTACAGCGGGGTACCTCAAGGTTCAATTTTAGGTCCGCTTCTTTTTGTTTTATATGTCAATGACATTAGTAGCATTCTAACTAATTGCGACTGTCATCCGTTTATGTATGCGGACGACATTCATTTATTTTTTAAAGGTCAATCAGACTTTCAACTAGAGAATTCCATAAATACAACATTAGGTAATATTTCACGTTGGTTGAGAAATAATAATCTAGTAGTAAATGTTTCTAAGACAAAAGCAATGACATTTGGTTCACCTTGCCGACTGAATAGCGGTATTAATATACAGGTTAATGGTGTAGCGGTGGATTTTGTTGACCGCATAAATTGTTTAGGTGTTGTTCTTGATGCCAAGCTTGATTTTTCTTTGCATATTGATGCTCTGTACCCCAAAGTTATAAATATGCTCCGAAAATTACACTCAACTGATTTCTATTTGCCCTTATTTGTAAAGAGAAATCTTGCTCATTCTATGTTATTTTCGGTAATTTCCTACTGTATTGAAGTGATTTCTGGTACAACACATGAGTATTTAATGAAATTAGAAAAACTTTTTAACATCATTGTAAGATATGTTTATAATTTGCGTCGTTTTGACCACATTTCTGCGCATGCAGTCCTCTTTTTAGGAGTGTCATTCTCTACTTTTGTTAAACAACGCGTGGTTTCATTTCTATATAAATGTATCTGTTTAAATCTTCCTGGTTTTCAGCGAGATCGGCTAGTGTTCTCTCGGTCTACTAGGAATACGCAAATAATTTTCCCTCATTTTTCTACGTCTCTATATGAAAGATCTTTCATAGTTCGTTCCGCACGAATCTGGAATCAGCTTCCAGCTGAGCTACGACAATTCTCGTTTTCCCGCGGTGTTTTTCGCCGCATGTTTGAAAACTTTGTAGAGGCAAATGGAGGTTAACAATTTGTTTGTTAATGATATTGACGATACTGTATCGTTTGATTAAATATTGTTTTTTTTTATTACCAGCAATAGACTTAAATTTATTTTCATTGGCTGGGGAGCCTTTTTGTCCATATTTTACATATGATTTCTTAGGTTACTTTAAGATACACTATGTAATATTTTTAAGATGTTTTTTTTTTATTTTGGAGTACACTTTTGTAGTTTTGATAGTTGTGATACTTATTGGCCTAATGGCTTTTTCATTGCAACATATAAATAAATAAATTAAATGAAATGAAATACGCATTCCCAAAACAATCTCCATATCTCAACAGTGACACCCATATCATATTTCTGGATTTCAGCTCCATTCCTTCACCCATTTTAGTATCATTTTATACTTTTCGTACAATTATAGTACACATTTCGAAATTTCCTCCAAAAATCCAGGCTACACATGAACAGCTACCGCCAATTCCAAATTTCAGATTATACCAAATTGTACCAAATATTGTTCACCAGATATTCGTTCACCCTAAATCAAGTTGTTCCAAAGTTAGTACCATTTTGTACAGTTCGCACTCTTAGTACATATTTCCAAAAACACCTCCATATATCACACTTTCATTCTAACCTTGATTCTTATACCAAATTTCAAGTTTATTGCTCTATTCGTTCATATAACCAAATGATACGCTGATGACCACCAAACTACATCTTGTCCATTCTATCTAACGAAAACTGACATTAAGCTTGTTGGGAGCACAATTACAAATTACTACAACATCTGGGTCATTCCCTTCAAATGGCGAAATGATGGTATGGACAATTACAAACTATGTAAAGATCAGAAAGAAACAGAAATGATTAAAGTTTTGCCGTGTCATTTTACGACGCTACCTAAGAATATTCTGATACCAATGGAAGGAAAAGTATAAAGCATTCGAGTCGGAATCAACATTCATTTTATGCTGACAAGTGCACTTGAGCAATTAAACTCATGAGATCGTTCCCGTTCCCCTTTTCTGCCTCCTTCCACTACATAAGCCATTACTATATAAAAACTGGTTCTCTCCGGGTGGGGAGTTACTCCTAATGAAATACCCTCAAATCTCCAATTACCACAAACATCAAACATTTTTTTTTGATGTTTCAAAATAATATTTCCCTTTGTCCTTTTGCTAATTTCAGGTGGTTAAGTGTTTAGTGTGGTGTAAAGTGCGACAGTGGAGATACATTTGTGTTAGAACGCGCGTGTGCGACACTCACTAACTAACCGGAAACACAGAACATACAAAAATCGAAGAAGAAGGTTTTAGCATATGCTTTAATGTCGATCAATATTTACTGCTGAAATACCAAGGATTGTGAAACTCTCTCTGCTGCTGAACGGTATCCATTATCTGACTAAGGAGACAATCGTAACGGTAACGGAAATACTGGGTGTTTTATTTTAAAGGAAGGCGAAAACAAAAAACTAACAACATGTCAGATATTGGAAGCGGCGATGGTGATCTTGGGGGACCAAGTATGTGTAGTTGTATATTTTAATACAACAAAATTGTAAAGCAAAGGTAATGATTTTATATTAATTAGAATACAATGCCGCAGGTAGCAGCATGGAGGGAGCTGGAAGATGTGATTTTGATCCGTCGGTAAAAACTCCTCAGGGTCAAACCGAACAGGAGTTGGCTACTAAAATGTTGCAAATACAATCGAAACGTTTCTATTTAGACGTTAAACAAAATCGTCGTGGACGTTTCATTAAAGTGGCTGAGGTGAGAGGAAATAGAAAATAATTTAAGAGATGTTTTCATTAAATTTTTTGTTACAGATTGGAGCTGACGGTAGACGTAGTCAAGTCTATTTAGCTTTATCTACAGCCGCCGAATTTCGTGATCACCTATCGACATTTAGCGACTATTATGCTTCTTTGGGTAAGGGTTACTGCTATCATTTTGTGTTATGTTAATTTTAATTGAAATGCAAAAATATTTGTAGGACCACCGAATCCCGATAATTTACCCGAAGATGGTAAACTTAAATCGGAAATGATGACCAAGGATAATAGACGTTATTATTTGGATTTAAAAGAGAACGCCAGAGGACGTTTTCTAAGGGTAAGTGGGAGAACAGTTAATGTGAGAAGGTTACAAGATAGACAAGGAAAAAAGGCAAATGAAACAGAAAAAAGTAAAAAATGTGATGCCAAAAAGAAAATATAAATTGTAAACTAAAGGTTACCTAAAAAAAAAACAAGAGAAACATAATATAAAAAACGAATTCATATAATTCTTTAAAATGTAGACAGTCTTTAGAATGTGTACTTTGAATTAACTGATTTAAATTTACCAAATGTATTTTTGGACATTAGATCTATTCTTGTATGTCCGCTCATCTCTCTTCTGCAGTGCGGCTGGGGCATACTTAAGAATCGGAGGTCTGTACATCACAATACACGGACACGGTCCTAAGCTGCTTGTTTTTTATTTCCAAATGCTGTGCATATGATTTAGTACTTTATCCTTAATGCATTTAATGTTTTCCCATAGGTTTCTCAAACAATTACACGGGGTGGTCCCCGTTCTCAAATTGCTATACCAGCCCAGGGTATGATCGAATTTCGCGATGCTCTCACCGATCTTTTGGAAGAATTTGGTACCAATGATGGCGGGTATGTCTGCATTTGAAATTTAATTTTAAAGATATTTTATTAAATGCCACCTATATTTCCAGATTTAAGGGAGATCTGCCTGAAGAACGTCACATGAAAGTAGATAATAAGAATTTCTACTTTGATATTGGTCAGAATAACAGAGGCGTTTACATGCGTATAAGTGAGGTAAGTATTTTTAAAATAATGTTAATATGAATGTTTTGTATTCGAGTTCATAGACAATCGTTAAAATCTACTCAGAGAATAAGAGAATTTAGTTTAGTATACATTAATTGGGGTAACTAAATGGAACCGTATTTAAAAAAATAAGAAAAACACAAAAATAAAAAAACCAAACGCAGACACAATTTCAACTGCCTCGTCGGAGGCATCGACCCAGGATAAAGCCAAGGACTTGATTTCAAATGCGGGTGGGGACTCGACCCTATTAACGTACCGAGACGTTGTATGTGAGAACATAGGGAGACAGAGCGGACAGCTGTCCGGCCTTCTTGAAAAAAAACAGGATTCTGAGGCTTAGCCAAGAGGGCGTTCCATCTGGCTTCGGTAATTATTCACCTCTCTCAGATGAGGAGCTCGACGTCACTGTCATACCCTCAACTCAGAAAGATGAATCAATTCAAAAAGCTACGGAGAACTCCCGCACCGGCGCCCAGGTGAGGTTGACCCAAGAAGTAGATCTATGGGCATGTACTGATGCGGTCAACGCTGGGGTGCAGGAAGTCATTGTGCGAGGTGATTGGAAGGTACTTCACCCACCAATAACCCAAGCAACCACCATGACTCCAACTCGAAGGAGGGTAGAGCAAGGAGGAGGTACAAGCGGACAGCTCTCAATAGGAAGGGGAAAGGTGTCCGAGTACGGTAGTCATTCTATATACCTCCATGACTTTGGTTACCTCGTCTGGGTGAATACAATACAGCACTGGTTGATAGGTCTGTTGATCTAGACGTAGGAGGTTCCCTATCCACCAGATGGTGATTTATATGGCTCTGTTTATAGCATTCATGCAGGTATTGCATTGACAGCATTTTATATATTTTTCCACTGTATAGTTGCATAGTTTACCCCAGACCGGCCTATTGCCTCCTCATGTAGCTGTTCGACAGGTGTTATGAGGAGGATCCCTGTTATTTCGTGGTGAATATTATATATTTTTCATATTCCTCGCATTAAAAAAGGGGTTTCCATTAATTAAGTAATTGATCGCAGATGCCGAATTGTGGAATAAAAGATATTTAGGTAGAGCTTTAGCTTTAGTCATGTGTTGCATCGAATTACCCACTTACTATCTTATTCAACTAAGAGGTTATATGAATAATGGTTTTTGGTACCGATATAAAAAAATACGAACTATACTAACACTTTAATGACATTTTATTTCTAAATATTTCAGGTGAAATCAAATTTCCGTACAGCTATAACTGTACCCGAAAAGTGCTGGACACGTTTTCGTGATATATTCAATGATTATTGTGAAAAAATGAAAAAATCGTCCGAATCGCCATCGTCAATCACTGCCGATAATAACACCATACAACAGCAACAACAGCAGCAGCCACAAGCCAAATAAATGTGCAATGGTGGCGCATTAAATTAAACACAGCAAAATAACAAAATGCATAAAAACAAATAATTGGAAGACCGGATTAGTGACAATTTAGAGCAAAGAAGAAACAAAACAAAAAATAAAGGAAAAGGATTGAAACGTAATCAGATGTAGTAGTGGGAAACAATTGACAATGTCATTATTACTGTTATAATCTATTACATTAGACACTCTATACACAACCACACACACACACACCAACATTCAATGCAAAACGACACACACATACACAAGTTAACCAAAAAATAAATAATAATGAAATCTTGTGTTATAACTACAGATGAATCCATGAAACAGTAACAGCTTCATTTGTTAATAATTATTAACAATTGACTATTTTTAATAATAATTATATAGAAACAGAAAACCGATAAATGATTTTAACCACTCTGTTGACAATTATCTTTTTAATTTTACCACATATTATATGAAGAAAAAAAAATATGAATCTAAATAATAATGATGATAAAGATGTTAAATAACATGATGTACTACTGTTAAGCTTAACACTTCGATAGATATGTGTCGTGCGTGAATTTAGGAATACATCGTAAAATGCAACCTGTAATTAAACAAAGAAAAACAAAAAGAAACAAACAAACAAAAAAACCTAATGTTCAAATCTTAAAACGAGGCGAAACGATGAGTTAAAAACACTAACAAAAAGAAATAAAGCTGATTGGCTATAGATAAATTACCTTTAGGAATCAGACCATTTTTAGACCGACAAACACCCCCCTCCCACTTATAACAAATAGGAATACAAACACCACATACATACATACTATAAAAGAAATAAAAATAGCAAACCAAATTTCACTTACCCACCTTGTATCAAATATGTGTTATTGCTCGCTATCCTTTCAAGGCCAGCAGTACACATTTGAGAGAAAACGAACGAAAGCAAACAAAAAAACAATAAACAGACATAGTTACTGCAATTTAAACACAAATACACACAAACACACACATATACACACAATCATGGTGAAAGTGCATTTTAGAAATGGGATTTGCTGCAAATGTCATGGACGGTCAAACATAAGGTTCAAGGCTTAATGCTGATGATAATGATGAGATCGTAATAAGTATATAAAAATATATATATTTTTCATTTGAAATTTAATTTTTATTTAGGATTCAAAATTTTTATTTTAATATTTCATTGGAAAAATTGTGTTCACCAGATTTGTAATCCCTTATCTAAAATGCAGTTTAGCTCTCACCCCACACTTGATAGACATTGAAATGCGATTTTGAAATAATATGTTGAATCCATACGTTCCTTTGCAAAGAGGAAATATAACTAAATTAAATATCATAAAATGATAATAAAACAGGGGATTTTTTGTTTTGTTACTTACATCCCTCAATTCTCAATTCTTGTTAAATAAATTAAAACAAACACACCAATCTTTCCACTATTATTTTATCTTTTATGATTTTTACTATTAGAATTGTTTTATTTACACCACACACATTTTAATCATCTTTGATTATGCCAAACCAGGGATAGGATTGCTTTGAGCGACAGTCCCCAATATATTGCTTTTTGGTTTCGCCGAAATCGAAGCTGATCGAAAATGTTTGTTAAATATATATTATGTTTTGGAATTTCTCTATTTTCTTAGGAAACTATTTATTTAAAATAAAAAAATCTTACGTTTTTTTTCTCTATTTAGTTTTATATACATACATATTATAACTGTAACATATTGTGTAATTGTTTTTTCGTGTTTATTTTTTTATTAATTAATAATTATCTTATTTATATATACATACAAAATACATACATGAACACTTGTTTCAGTCTGCTGTGATGGATGAATGCTTTCATTTGCAAAACAAAACAAAAAAAAAAAAAAATTAAGAAAAATTCAAGTTATTTAAAAAATGTGATTATGTGGAAATCTATAATATAAATGAAAATGTTATTATATAATAATAATAAAAAAAATTAGTTTTATCTTAAATCAATTGCAAATGCAAAATCAAAATGAATGTTTGTTTTTATTTTATTACGTATATTTTTTTTCTTTATAAACTAAGGCAATTATGAGATTCAATCTTTTAATATTTGCAAAGAGGAGGACAGTTCATTTTAAAAACAATATTGGGTTATAATTTATGTTAAGTTTTCAGTTACTTTAGTCAGAGACATGTGGTCCATTGTGTGCCAGGAAAATACACAAAAAATAAAAATGCAAAAGGAAGGCGATACTATACTATAATACTACACAAAAAAACATAAAATAAAGGAGTACTGAGCACATTCGTCGACCTACTATGTAACCACGGTGGAATATTCCACAGAGAGAAGATTGAAACTTGTGATTTCTTACCTTCCAAAAAGCCAGGGTTATCAAGGAAAAATGCTCTGTTGTTTTATTCCTTTATCATCTTCAAATAGCCTTCAATATTACTCTCCTCCCATTCCGAAGTTCAACGACATTTAAAGTTATTAGTTCGATCTACCAACTGCTTCGGATTTAAAGTCAAGGTTCTTTTACGCCCTGTTGGGTTCCAGCCCATTTCAATATTCCAGGTAATCCGCCACCCTACCAATTCTTTCATATCAGCAAAGCTGCCTAGATGAAAGGGGGGTGTAATGTCCCAAAGAAAATTTGGCGTAGAATCATCGCGAAGAGCACAGGGTCGCTCATCTTAATGACGAAACCTGATCTAAAACTTATGGTGGTATTATCACAGGTGACTGTAGCATAAGAGTCACGATTTCTGAGTGGAGTGGCGATGATACCGATTACTGTAGGCTCTGCCAGTATGGAGAGGAAACTGAGACGGTCAAACATTTACTCTGTCACTGTCCAACTATCATCAATGTGAGACATAGGCATCATTCTCTAACACTATTTTCCAACATGTCTCAGATTTAGGATGAGCACAATGACAAATCAGCTGATTACTTTCAGGTTTTAACATAGATGCTGTCTGTTTGGTTTGGTTTAAGGATACACTAGAGTCGACAAATGCTTCACTCGGAAACCTTAGATCCATTGTGTTCATCCTATGAAGAATAAAGTTGTCAGTGATAGGAGAGCAGGGTGGTTTGCTTAGCCAGGGATTGCTTTTAGCAAACTTGTCTCTAATTCTTCATCTTTAATTGTCTCTACTTCTTCATCTTCACATAGCCTACAGCAGCATATTTGATACCAGAGAGCTGATCAATGTGCCAACCGCGAATCTTGGATTAGACCTACCAGGTGATGGAAGGGAGCTTGTTCTTCAGCATGATCCATTCTTAGATCCATTGGGTTCATCCTATGAAGAATAAAGTTGTTAGTGACAGGAGAGCAGGGTGGTTTGCTTAGTCAGGGATTGCTTTTAGCAAACTTGTCTATAATTCTTCATCATTAATTGTCTCTACTTCTTCTTCATCTTCACATGGCCTACAGTAGCAGACTTGAGAACAGAGAGCTGATACTGCAGTGGACACTCAGTGTGCCAACCGTGAATCTTGGAGCAGGTCTACTATGTGATAGAAAGCAGCTTGATTTTCTTTATGAGATTATCGGCCAGATGGCCTTAGATACCCTGCAACCAGTCTCTGAGTGTTAGCATCTTCGATGAGAGATTTTTTGAAGTTTAGTAATCTCTGGGAACATCCTCGAGCTAATTCATCAGCCACCTCATTCCCCACTATGTTGACTTAATGTCATTTACTTCATCAATGGAGACCCCGCTCTATCCTCCTTCTATCTTGATTGCCTCGTGTCTTAAGAGTGTGGGCTTGTTGTTGTTGGGACCGCTGGGACTATTCAGGTCGACTACCTCCTAACGAAGCTCCGTTAGGATACAGTTACACTGGTAAGCACATGGTCGCATAACACCCCAGCGGTAGGCAGTCCTTTTTATGTGGAGACTAGCTAATAGGTTTGGCTATTTTTGGGGCGCTGAAAAATGGCCTCGTCAGTCTAAAGATCATTGGCAGTAGATGGACCATTTAAATAGAGATTCTCCCCCAGACCTACTGCCGGTCCACGATCTCTTATTCAGTTCGCAGCTAACCGCGATATTTACTGGTTTTTCACTATCCGCGTCCGGATTGCTATACTCCCTGAAGGTGGAGCTTAGCCTTTCTTACAAAGCGAATAAAACTACCTTACTCTCTGAGAAAGAAATTACTTAACAATTCATGGAGGAAAAGTAAGCAGGCACTGTTGTTTGGTAGGCGAAAATCATTCAGAAATAGCCATGGTAGTAGAATACATGTAGATCCATCAACGCTCGGGAACATTTATATGTCAAAATTTTTAAAAAGCTTTTTTTTCAAAAAATATGTAGTTTAAGTTTTCTTATACACCACTAATCGGAGATTGTTATGATATGCATTTTCAACAATTTTTACAAATTTGAATAACGTTCATTCAAAATTTTCAATTTCCAAATTGGATTCTTCTTCTACCAAGGAAATGGCTTAATTCGCCTTTTTAAATTTAATGAGATATGTTTAATGTCCTCAAATTATTGCTTGTTTGACAAACTTAGCAAAATATTAAAACATTTTTCTAAATATTAAATATTTAAATTTAATAATAAAAATTACATTTTATTTTTATATTAGCTTATTCTAAATACAATTATTTATAGGAAATAAAAATTATTTAGTAACTCAAAATATAAATCTAAAAATACTTTAGTAGTAATGACAACAATGCCTACAAACAAACACTTCAATTATAAACAAAAAACAACAACAAAACGTAAAACAAGGTTTCTGGTTTATTTTATCGTCTTTCTTTCGAAAACTTCATTTAAAAATATTTATTATTGTTTTTGGCGGGGAAGTCCAAGGCACGATTATTACCAATACAATGATGGTTAAAATCTACAGCAAGGTGACATCCAAAAACCTGCATTGGACTTCTACTTTATTTTCACAAAAAAAAAATTAAAGCTTTAATCTTAAATACGGTCCATAATAAAAACAAAACAAAGAAAATACAGAAAACAAGGTCTAAGCATGGATGTAATTCTTGATAACTAAGTAATTTGTCTTAAGAGAGGATTGAGAGTTCGAGTAGATGTATATATGATTATAACAGTTAATTTAATAAAACAAACAAAACAAAACCAAAACTATCAAAATTACCTAGTTGTGTTAACAAAGAACAAACAAAAAAGAAAGAAAAGAACAAAACAACAGCAACAACAAATGAAAATCTAAACAAATGATAATGAAAATAACAAATCCTTATAAGTGTTAGACAATTAAAAGTAATGTGAATGAAAGTAAAACAAAACAAACAAACAAACAAAATAAAAACATACAAAGAGAAAACAAAAATCATAAGAAATCGACCTGAAAATAATTATATTATTATACTCTCCATCAAAGGAGAGCGAACGATAGCGAAGAGAAAGAGGAAATATGCTTCTATTTGTTTAACAAATAAAAAACAATAGGATAAAGGACAATGTCTGGATGGAAAAATTGAACATACACACTAAAATGCAAGTATGCATCAGCAAGCTTAAAAGCCGGAAATGTCTGTTGTCAGTCTGTGTGTGTGTGTGTATTGGAGTATCCATAATATCTCCGGAAAAATGTTTTGAACGCTGTATGTGTATGACAGACACCACATAACAAAGCCTAGCTTTGTAAGTTAACAAAATATAACAATAATAACAAATTTCATTTTAAGATTGGGATTTTTTTCCGACCCAAGGCTTAATTTCTAGTTAGATAAATTGTAAATAAGATTATATACTGAACTTGATTATACACAATTGACATTTTAAAATATATGAATAGCAGATCGTTTGCAATTTTTCCACATGGATATAGAAAACCCATGGCTGAAGAAGAATACTAGTTTCAGTTACGAAATAAACAAGTACATCCATGGCCAATTTATAAGGTACCCCTTCGAAGCTAGCTGACTACCACATTTAATGACAAAGT